GGAATAATTTAGCCCTATATAGAATGTTTTTATTCTTGAAATGTGAAAATGCTTATTTTTCACTAAACTTTTGCTCTTAAGCAGAAACATTAAATAATTACAAAATATTTTATCTAAAATTTTGTAACCTTAGTGATTTGATAGGTGGAGTGCTTTTAATTCTTATTTTCCTTATTGAATGTTTGAATTTTGATTTATATAATCTTTATGTTTTGGGGCATTTCAAACAATACAAGGCAAAGTGAATAGACACTTTTAGAATGTTTATGAATCAGCCCAAGCTACTTGCCTCTTGTGTTTATTGTTTTAAATCATTAGTGATGTCAGCTTCTAAGCATTTGTTATGTTGTTCTTTTAACCCCCCAAAGTATGCCTTAAAACATTTTTCTTGACTGGGTACTCTTCCTTTTCTGTGCACTGATGGTCAAATCCTTAGATTATTGACAACTAAGGATTTCTCACTCCAAAACAAGAGTCCTTCAGAAAAAGACAGGACCGAAGAGACTGGAATCATCTTTCTTTTTTCCAGGCTGTTCTTTGTCACTTACTTAGATTGCACTCAGTTACTAAAACTGATGATCATCAGTGTGCAAGGCAGCAGAATTTTTGTCCTCATGGAATTGATGATACACAGTTGTCCTTTGGTTTCCTTGGGGGATTGATTCTAGGATTCCTGGTAGACACCCAAATCCAAGGATGTTTATGTCCCTTATGTAAAATGGCATGTGTTCATATAACCTACATGCTTTCCCTATATACTTTAAATTATCTCTAGATTATTTCTAATACCTAGTACAATGTAAATTCTACATAAATATTTGATGCACAGGATTGTCAAGCAATAGAAACAAGGAAAAATTTTGTATGTTTTCAGTACAGGGACAGATTTCTTTTTATTTTACATGTATATTACATGTCATGTGCAAGTGTATGTGTTCGCATGTGTGTGGACACGTGTGTGCAGATGTGAAGGCCTGAGGTATCTTCCTTCATAACTCTCCACTTTATTTATTGATGACTAGCTGGCTGGACCTTGTTCCTAGGATTCTATCTCTAGTAAATGCTAGGATTATAGGCAGCTGTCACAAGTGCCTGGCTTTTACATAGATTCTGAGCATCTGAACTTCATTCCTCATAAAGTGTGTTATCCACTGAGCCCTCCAGACACAACTTCCTAAACAATAGTTTTGATCTACAATTTAATACATAGATGAAGCACCCACAGGTGAAGAAGGCTGACCATACTCCAGAACACTCCAGGGCCGGAGAGCTGGCACCAGGGGTGAGAGCACAAGCATGAGGACCTTAGTTTCAGATCCCTAGCACACATAAAAACCAGGTGTGTAACCCCAGTGCTATGGGGGGGGGTGGAGCCCAGGCAGGAAGGGATCCCTGGGGCTCGCTGGCCACCCCCTAGCTCTAGGTTCAGTGGTAGACCCTGTCTCAGGGGAATAAGATGTCCTCCTCTGGCCTCCGTATGCATATACTACACACTTACATACACAAACTACTCAAGGAAAGCTAAGTCTAGTGATGTAGATCTACAATCTTAGCTATTTAGGAGACTTAGGAGAATCAAATATTCAAGGCCAGCCTGGGCTACAAAGTGAGTTTGAATTCAGCCTGGGCAACTTAGTAAGACTCTGTCTTAAAATTTGATAAGAAAAAAAAAAAGGAAGAGACTCTCATAAGGCCAACCCCTCCCTGAGGCTCTATCGACAGTTAATGATTGCTGGGAGAAGGAGAGAAATTTTCTTCAGTCACATTGCCCAGGCATCCATAAATAACCCGTCATACATGCTTTTGTAAGCAACCCTGATCTTGAGTCTCAGGCCAGGTATGGTGGCACATGCCTTTAATCCTAGCACTGGAGAGGCAGAAGCAGGTAGATCTCTGTGAGGCTGAGGCCAGCCTGGTCTATATAGGAAGTTCTAGGTCAGCTGGAATTACAAGGAGACCCTGTCTCAAAAAACCGAAAAAGCAAACAAAAACTCTTTGGGTTGCCAAAGAAGTAAAATAAAAAATATAGGAGATCAGCAGGAGTGGGAGGGGAGTAAGAGAGCATATGGGGTGTGAGTGTGAATATGATCAAAGTGTGAAAATGTCATAAAAAAACCCATTATGTATAATTAACATATGTTAATAAGATAAAAATTTAATATCATACATGTAAATTGTTCAGTGGTAAAGCACTTGCCCAGCATCCATTAGTCCCTTGGTACCATCCCCAGCGTGGAAGGAAGAAATGGGGGAAGGGAGGGAAGGAGGAAAGAAGGAAGAAAGAAAAATATTCAAGGAGGAGGTAAACCACATTAATACCTACACACCAGTTCTTTCATTAGACAGGAACACAGCCTCTCTGCAGCCTTGGAAAATGAAGCTGATAAAAGACATTAGTGTTGGTGAGGTTAAAAAACAATCAATTACCAGGAAAGACTGCAGGAAACGTTATTAATTATTCTCCTTTGTATGCTGTATTTAACAAAATAAACCAGTTAGCACCTTATTTTGACCGTCTATTCAAGATGAGCCATTCTCGTAAAGTCAGAATGCAGGGTCTATGTACCTGTGGTGACGCACTAAATCATGAACTCTTAAGGCTTGAACTCAGTGGCTCCCTTTTACATGGTGTGTCTTAGTGAGCACCTGGGCCCGTCTTTTCATGTCATTCTGGGATTCCTCCAGTGTGGGTGGCCAGATTCACTTTAAATTTAGCTCTTCATGTTGAAGCATAAATAAAAAGATATTTATTTTATCCACCAGACTTCTTGCTGTGGACACCTGGGCAGGGTTGACCTTTGTAACACTAGTAGTATTGTCACCATACATTGGTCATTCAGGGCTCCCCCAAGAAAAGTCCATTAAAAACAGAGTTGGAGAAATTATTGGTTTAACAGTTCTGCATCTGCTTTTGTATATAGAAAAAAATATGAAAAAGACTCCTGATAATGAACAGATCAAACACCTTGTTGATAATAACTGCCATTGTCAAGCAAGCTATACATTACGCACTGCTGTAAAGGCTGTCTGTGTGAACCATTGAAGCATCACCTCAGTCCCATGGAGTAATCCTGTTTTCAACCTTGCCTCACAGATGAGAAAACCTAGATGAAATAGCTCATATAGGTCCCTCAGTTAAGAGGTGATGGAGCCCGAACCTCATGCTGAGGATTCTTCCCTAAACGCCACACCCTCACCCATTGCATTGGCTGTCTAATGTAGAAGCATTGCCTGTGGTCACCAGATTTAGGAGGTCAGTTCTTCACTTCCATCATAATTTCCTGACTTCTGTGTCCCCAGATCCCTTCCCATGCACTGTTGTTCCCATTGACTTTTCCATCAGCTCCTTATTCTTTCTTCCCTGCTTCCCTGTGGTCTCCAAGATGTAGGCTGGTGACATCCATGGGTGGGGTAGGTACATGGCAGGGCTGTTGTTTCCCCTGACCACACACACACACACACACACACACACACACACACACACACAATCCCAGCTACATTAAGCACACAATGTCCTAGCTGCATTAAGCTCAGCACCATTCCTTGACTACACCTGCCAAAAGTTCTTTTATTGAAGGGATCCACATGGACCATTCTAGAAACAACCACTTTCTGGGGATGATTGACCTAGCTGTTTGGCCTGGACTGACCTTACTTGGAGGACATGCTGTCCAGGAGGCTTCCTGTTTTAGCATGATTGTGATGCCATAACAGAATACCACAGACTAAGTAATTTATAAAGAAGAGAAATGTATGCTTCATAGTTCTGAAGACTGTTAAGTCCCAGATCAAGACTTCAGTGCAAGACTGGTTTTCTGGTGAGGGCTGTATACTTCTGAGGGGGAGGAGCTATTTTCACAGAACTGAAGACAAAGCTATCCCAATACTACATGAAGCCTCTTTTATAAAAACCTCAGTCCCATCCATGAGGGAGGAGCCTTCATGGCCTCCCCACAACTTGTACTCTGCCTCTTAATACTGTCATATTAGCATTTTTTTCAACTTTGGAGATGACACGTTTCAAATCATAGAACCCTCCTTCCAGAGTTTTTGCAAGTTGTCTTCTCCCATACTTCACCAAATCTACCACATATCCCTTTTCTGCACTTTGGCACCATGACTGCATCACACTTGCTTGTCTGTGATTTGGGCCTCTTTTGAGGTGATGAACTCCACATAGATCTCACTCATGGCTAAGGTATCCACTCTTGTTCTCCCAGCATCCCTCAAAGTTCTCGGCACACAAGAAGTGTTTGACAAAACTTTGGTGAATAAATTGGCCTGGTATTCTAATTACCAAGCACTGACCAACCCCAGGAATATGTGCACAAGGATGTACCAAGGTTGTAAAAAGAGAGACAGGCAGCTGCCACAAAGTGCTTCCTGTGAGGGCATGCTCAACCTTAGGAACATGTGGCTGTGCCCAGGCTCAGGGGTCTTAAGGCGGTCTTCCTCAGCTTTTCTCTACTTTAGGTGCCACATGACTTCAGGAAAGGTTGTCTGTACTTTCTCTGTTGGTGCTGGAGTTGCTCAGAGAACAGATGGGCAGTTTTCTGGATGAAGGACACTTCCTGGTGTTGAGGTCACCTTCACATTGGGACTGCTCCTTATCATTGCCAGGGATAGATGTTTACTGATCAGAACCAACCCAAGTAGACTACAGAGCTGGCTATCAGTGTGCTCTGCTTCCATCACATAGAGGTTATGTGATGCCTTCGTGGAGGAATTTTACCATTCATTTTAGCTCCTGGAGGTGAAACATGCAGTCAGGCATTCTTCAAAGAAAACGTTATAGGAATAAATGGTGCGTTTTGGAGGCAGTGGTCTTCCTGAGGCTGCATCTGTCTGAGAAGACAAAGGAAGGCAGTCCTAAACTGTGACTCTCATGTTTTCACCTTCTACCTTCCAGGAGCACATTCCACCAGCAGAGAGAAGATGCAGCTGCGTTTCTGCCAACTGTAGTTTCAATCTGTGCTGATTGTAATTTTTATCCATCATAGGTTTGAAGACATACCTGATATCGGGTCAGAGAGCCAAGGAGTCCCACTGCAGCTGTGCAGAGGCCTTGCTTTCTGGCTTTGAGGTCATTGACGGCTCACGGGCGTCCTCAGGCCCTAGGGGACAGGGGACAGCATCATCAGGGAGTGTCAGTGACTTGGCGCAGACTGTCAAACCCTTTGATAACCTTAAGGTTAGTTTTTTTTTTCCTCTCTCTCTCTCTCTCTCTCTCTCTCTCTCTCTCTCTCTCTCCTACAACTTGGTAGTAATTCTACAGTAGAACACGTGAAACAATAAACAGCCTGTGACAAAAGACTCAGAATGCCTTTCAATTTAGTTTTCATAAATGTAAAATTTAGTATAAAGTTAGCCAAATTTTGCAGTTTTAATGTGTACCTCCATTTCCTTTTTTGCATTGCATAAGATCTTTACTCACTTTAGTTATTTTCTTTTTCTGTGAACTGTGGTGTCTTTTGGGACCTCTCAAAGCTAATAGTAAATGCCAGTAAAGGTAATTTTCCTAGTATTGTTCTCAGAGACCTGGATTCTATTTTATTTCAGAGACCACTTTCTTAAATAGTCCTGTGTCTCTTGAAAGTCACAATTTTGTGATTATCTTAAATTGTGTCAGTGTGGGTGAATTTGCAATGTTAGCTCTGTAAAGGAAAAAAAAAAAGAGTGCACATTGCTGAGAATATTCTGGTTTTTGTTACTGGAATGGAGATCTCCTGGTGGCAGCCTAGAGGTGCCTATTTCTAAACTGACATTATGTCATAACAAACTACTCGGGAATTAACATGCTTAGCCTTGGGCGTATGACATTCTCACTATGAGCCCCTCCCCACTGGTACCTTTTGTTTATATTTTTATTTTATTTTATTTATCATTATTTTGTGTATGTATGTGTGGGCATGCATGGGTATATTACCTTTTTGTGTGCATGTATGTACCCGTGCATGGAGGCCAAGAGGTCAACTTTGAGTGTTGTTCCTCAGAAGCTATCCACCTTGTTTTTTTTCGAAACAGGGTCTCACTAGGACTGAGGCTCACTGATTAGGCTAGGGGGAACTGACCACTGAGCCCCAGGAATCCTTCTGTCACTGCCTCCCCAGCACTGGGATTGTATTATGACCCAGCCCAGCTTTTTCCGGGGGTGCTGGGGATCAAACCCAAGTCTTCGTGCTTATACTGACTGAGCTTTCTTCTCACCCCTTCTTCTGTTTATTTTTACAATTCAAATATTTGCTGTTTCCATTTTTAAAAAGAGAGCCAAATGGTTATAACAATTCTTTACTGTTTGGGACTTTCAGATAACAAAATGTTATATTAGGATGAGGGGTGATGGTGACAGCTTTCATCCAGTATGACTTATCTACATTTATTCACATTTAGATTTGAAAACTAGCTGGGTGCTCATAAGCTTAAGAGTCTTTAAAAGGTAGGTGTGGTAGCTTATGCCCATAATCCCAGCACTCAGGAGACTGAAGCAGGAAGAATTACCATGAGTTCAAGACCAGCCTGAGCTACAGAGTAAAACCCTGTCTCAAAAAACAAAACCAAACTAGTCTTTATAATGTGGCAGCCTGCTGGGGAATCCAGTTGACTTTACATGTCAAGCTGCTTCATACCATCATCTGGTTACTTCTTGTCATTGTTCTGTTTGGATTTATTGAGCGCACTCGTACATCATTTCCTCATATGTTTTGTTAATTCAATGCAGCTTCTTGACAGTACTGACAATTTGGACTTAGTAATCCTGTATATAGGGCTGTGCTAGACATTGTTAGATGGTCAGCACCATATCTGACCTCTGCCTAGTAATATCTTTGGCAGACACACCCCTCCCCCAGTTGTGCCAACCTAAAATGTTTCAAACATTGCCCAGTGTCCCCTAGGGATAGCAGGAGAGGAGCACAAAGTCACCGGGTGACAGCCTGGGATGGTAGTGTTGGATCCCCCTGTTTGCCCTGCATATGCAGGACAGTTGCTGTATCTGAACTTCCCTGAACTGCCTGTATTAAAGGTGGGGGCAGACACTTCACAGCATTGGTGGGAAGGGCTCTCACCTCACAGACTTGCTAAACACAGTCAGGGAAGAATAAAACCAGGATTTTCAGATGTGGTCTTATTGCATGGAGAATAGTGGTTTCCCTCTAGGCTTCAAACTGAACCTTATCTAAGTAGGAAATTGAACTCAAATACATGACTTGTGCTCATCTGCCATTTGGATTGTGCTCATCGTGTTTCTTCCTATTGGAGATATTGTGGCTGAGTTCACTGTGTCATACACTTGCAGCTATAGAGTCAGAGGTTCTCTGCTAAGTTGCCTTAGGAAGGTTTTCTCTCATCCTGAAAGACCATTTTGTTCCAGTTGTAGAGATTTCTTTTAATCTGGATGGACAAACGCTATTTAACATATTCTATTGCCATATACACGTTTCCCAAATTACGTGAATTTCCTGAAAATGGAGTGCAAGATCTGTTGACTATATGGCCAAAAGAAATTTGTGAAATAAAAGAGATCTTTGTGTCTCTTCCAGGAGGAAAAAAATGAGTTGGTTCATGAAGAATAATAATTTCTGGGATATTTCCGCGATTTAGGTGGATGGACAGGATATTTTGAACTGGAGCTATCCTAGAACACTGGAGTTGTTTGGGTTCCACATTTGGGGCATACCAAACATGAAGAGATAAAAGGCAGGTCCCAGTGCAGAATTGCTACCAACCAGCAACTCTTCTTATGGTCCTGTCTCCTCAGAGTCAGAAGAGAACAGGCGTCTGATTCTGAATGATCAGAGTACTAGTGCACTATGAACCTGCAGGAGAGGTAGAAAGCTGAGTCTGCATTCATTGTAGTGAAGATTAGAATCAGATCTGTAAGATCTTCTCTCAACTAGGAGACTGTAAAATACCAGTTGCCTGCTATGCATTCTTTATGCCAGTTCATCCTGTACACCTGGTATCCACTCACATGAATAACATTGCTGTTGTTACCTTAGTGATACTGTCTGTCCCAAGGTGAGTGTTCCCATTACACTTAAATATGTCTGGTAACTCCAAATCATATGCCAAGGTGTGTTGACTGCCCATTGGCAGTCTGCTGTTCCTTTGTCACTGCCTCCACCTCATCGAAGAAAGTGAACTCCATATGGATTTGCTGCCCCATCCCCCGAAGAGGCCAGGCTTAATGTGATATCTCAAAGTATGTTCCCTGGTGGAGTAGATTCTCAGGATGGACACTGATGTCAAGTATAAAAGATCTGAGAAATTCTGGATTAAACAACTCAGAAAGGATTTCTCTGACTGTAGGACTACTCAGAGCCTCGCTGCATCAGCAGGCATTGCCACCTGCTCCAAGGACTGAGAAATTAGAGAGGTGCTTGAGAGGCAGTCTTGGTATGTAACCTAGACTGGCCTCAAACTCACAATCCTCTTCCCTTAGCCTCTCAAGTGCTGAGATAACATGTACACCACATCTGGCTCTGTTTTCCAAATTATAAGTCAAAATTATTATTTTTAAATTATGGAGCCCATGAGATGGTTCAGCTGGTAAAGGTCCTTGCCACTAAGCTTGATGACCTAAGTTTATTCCCTAGGAACACATGGTGAAAGGACAAAACTGACTACCAAAAGTTGTCCTTTGATTTCCATATGTATGCTGCAGCATGCATACAAGATAAATAAAAATGTAATAAAAACTTAAATTATGTATATGAATTGAGGTGGAAAGATCTGTACAGTTACAGTATCACTTAATGAGGTTTATCAGATAGTGTAGTATTAAGGAAGCGAAATTTACCCAAATACTATTTTCTTTACTTTGTTTTTCTGATGGAATAGTTCCATAGCATAGTAGCGCTCTTCTCTCCTTACAGTTGCTGAATCTAATTTCTATTTTTCTGGCCTTATGTAGCCCAGGCTGGCCTGAATTTACTATGTAGCCAGTGTTGGCCAGGAACTCCTGATATTTATGCCTATAATTTCTGACTACTGCAATTACAAGCATGCACCACTATGCACAGCTGAATATAATTTTTTTTTGGTCTTTTTGAGACAGGGTCTCTCTGTAGCCCCAGCTGTCCTGGAACTCACTATTTAGACCAGGCTGGCCTTGAACTCACAGAGCTCTGCCTGCCTCTGCCTCCCAAGTGCTGGGATTAAAGGCGTGCGCCACCACGCCCAGCTCCAATGTATTTTTTACTTAAATCTTTGTTACCGACCTTAGTTTTTAAGCCCAGTTATCCTTTATGGCTGAGGAATTGGATGAAAAGTTCCGAGTTCTTTGGTTCTATGCACTGGGGCTTTGAGATCTTGTGTCTTGAGTTTTATAAGTTTTTGCTCATTCATTGTTTTGCCTTGTGTTCATAGACTGTCTGCTTCCTGTTCTTAACGGCTCCGGGATGCCTTTTTTTTTTTTTTTTTCTGTGATAATTGATCCTTCTGTTTTCCTCAGATTTTCAGCTTTTACTTCGGGATGCCTTTTTTTTTTTTTTCTGTGATAATTGATCCTTCTGTTTTCCTCAGATTTTCAGCTTTTACTTCTAATATATTCTTAGGGGAAATAATCTGTTCTTAGGGGAAATAATCTGTTTTGAAGTATACCTAATCCATTTGCTTAAGTAAGAAAGCCCTGGCCCACAGGTGTTGTAGTTAGCCTGGTGACTTCTTCCAGATGACATGGAGGCACCTGGTGCGTGGTGATTAGGGTCAGGCACTTCACTGCTTAGGTTCCGACTCCTACCCTTTTCTAACTCAATGACTCCAGGCAAGTCCCTTCTCTTCTCTGCCTCAGCATCCTTCTGTGTAAATGGAACTAATCATTGTACCTGTATCATGGATGCTTCTGAGGAGGAATAAATTGAGACACATGAAAAGCTTAGAGGGGAACTCAATGATTTGTGTTTGTTGTTGTAGTGTCATGGCTACCTCTGCCCACAAAGTCCATCATGAGTTTCATGATAGATAATGTTTCTTCTAGTACCAGGCTACCTTGCTAACTAGTCAAGTATACTAAACAGGCAAAGCCAGGACCTCACTGATGTTTCCTTCCTCCAGAGAGGCTTCCCTGTTCCCTCCTGTGACAGTTGTGAAAAGGGACAGCTGTTGACTTCAAAATTATTTGTAATGAGAAACAGCCTTGAAGAAAAGAAAACTATTTTATAGCTCTTTGCCATGTGTTCTGACAAGAATGTAGGGTACATGCATTGAAATGCATTCGAAACAAATGAAAATGAACCCGCCTGTGTTAAAGAAATAGTTAAATCCTCCTTCCAAAGCCCATGTCCACTGACAGGGAGGGGCACAGATAGTATAGGAAAAGGAGCGTGTGCTCTTGGCAATTCTCCAAGGACTCTCAGGTTACCCAGGCAATAGCCAGCAAACTCTTTGGCCTATGGGGTATGCTCCCCTTAGTGTGTATATGCCAATAGAACCACTCAGAAAAAAAAAAAAACAAGATTATAGTTACAGCAACTTGGTTCATTTCAGGTGATCCGCATCCAGCAAATCAAAGTGTCAAGATTATTCCTGGGCCCTTCTTGTGTCAGAAAAGGCAGCCAGGATGAAGCCCCAGAGTGGTCAGGAGCCAGAAGCCCTTGAGTGTGACCTGTGCCTACAAACCATTGTTTCTTCAAAAGACCTATAACTTTTCTGTGTGTGTGTGTGTGTGTGTGTGTGTGTGTGTGTGTGTGAGAGAGAGAGAGAGAGAGAGACAGACAGACAGAGACAGAGAGAGACACAGAGAGAGATACATGTGTAATACGTGTGTATACATTATACATATGTGTACAAATGCGCATGCTGTGTATCATGTGTAAATGCCAAAACAGGACATCGAGTATCCTGCTCTATCAGACTTTACCCCAGTCCCTTGAGATTGGGTCTCTTATTGAACCTGGAGCACACTAGTTTTGGGATAGACTGACTGGTCATTGAGCCCCAGTGACTCTCCCTGTCCTTGCCTCCGTTGAATTTACAAGAGCACAACCACACCCAGCTTTTTTATATGGATGCTAGGATCTGAACTTGGGTCCCCATACTTGTGCAAGCAGCAAGTGCTCTTCTTACCCACTGAGCCATCTACCAGCCCCAGAAGTCTCATTCTGCCTCCTTGTGGTCATGAGGATTTTCTCAAGCTTGTATATACAAGATTGCAAACCTGACCCGTACTCTGTGGTTTTTTTGTTTGTCTTTTTGAGACAGGGTCTCCCTGTAGCCCCAGCTGGCCTGGAACTCACTATGTAGACCAGGCTGGCCTTGAACTCACAGAGATCCACCTGCCTCCACCTCCCGAGTGCTGGGATTAAAGGCATGTGCCACCACGCCCGACTTACTCTATGTCTTTAGCACATAGATGCTTCTAAATAATATCTGCTGTCATTGCAACAGCAATTTTTTTTCTAACATGCCTGGCAGCTTTGCTCCCCTGCGAGTCATGCCTCTGAAGGTGCATGGGAAAGGCTCTCATCTAGGGAATGCTTCTTGGAAGTGGTGGAGATGTGGCCAGCTGCAGGGGTGAGATAGATGTTTGGTAGGTTACAAAAGTTTCGTAGATGTCAGCACTTGGCCAAACCAGATTATAAAATGTTTTAATTCAGATTGAAATTAGCCTAGAAAAATCGTCAAAGGAAAAATTGCTATGGGGTATATAGAGAAGGAAACAAACCATACACCATTGTGTAGTGGATCCCTCATGCTGCAGAAGGAGCCTCTCCCCCCAGATGGAATACAATGTTGAGATAGGAGACTGTCTCCCTCAGGAAAGGTGGATTTCTCTAACTTTTAAATTTTCATTTGTTGTAATTTTTTAATCAAGAAAATCACCCAAAGGAAAGTTGCTGAGGAAAAAGGAGAGCGGCAAAGTGCCCCTTTGCAGACTGCAGTGAAATGATCTGCTGTAGGTCCAGGGGCTCCTGGGAAAGCCCTGCCAGGAGGGCTCTAAGTCAGCACCTGTCACCACCACCCATGTCCCCAGTCATCCAGCACTTTGTCCATGGAAGATACCACCAATCAATCAGTTCCCTCATGGGGCCAGAATGTGGCCCCTTCTCAATTGAAGACTATGCAGTCAGTACCACATGAGAAGAGCTGGAACACAAAAGCCAAACTGCTTTGAAGCCTTGCATGGTAGCACCTGCCTATAATCCCAGCACTTAGGAGTTGGAAACAAGAGGATTGAAATTTCAGGGACAACCTGAACTAAACCATTTGATGAGTTTGAGAATACCCAGGGCATAAGTCCTATCTTTAAAATTATTTTTTAAATGATGTATGTCCAGCCAGGTGTGGTGGCGCACACCTTTAATCCTAGAATTTTGGAGGCAGAAGCAAGTGGATCTGTGTGAATTCAAGGCCAGCCTGGTCTACATAGAGAGTTCCAGGCCAGCTGGGGCTACAGGTAGACCCAGTCTCAAAAAAAAAAAAAAACTTAATGTGCATACGTGCCTATATCAGTGTAAGATACGTATGCAGTTGCCCATGGAGGCCAGAGGAGGATATTGGATCCCTTGGAGCTGGAGTTACAGACTTTTGTGAGCTGTCTCCTGTGGGTGCTGTGATTCAAACTCTGGTCCTTTTGATTGAGGAGCAAGTACTCTTAACAGCTCTAAGGCATCTCTCCAGCCCCAAGATCCTGACATTTTTTTTAGGTGCATTTGAAATGCTCTGACATGCTTTACATGTGTACCTCATTTTGCCATCCTTCCCGGCAACCTTTACTCTGCTTTCTTTCTCTAGCACTCCCTTTCCCAGGCATTTCATTCCAATGGAATCACCCCTAGTATATAGTCTTTTTCATCTGACTTTTGTTGTTGTTGTTTGATTTTTGATACTGTGTAACCCTGGCTGATCTGACACTCATTGTGTAATTGTGTAGATGAGGCTGACCTTGAATTTGTGAAAGTTCTGCTTCTGCCTCTGAGTGCTGGGACTGCAGGTATGGACCACCATGCCTGGCCTTTTTTCATAAGTATAGTAGAGGGCACCAAGGTGTACAGAGTCCCACAACATGCTGCAGAGGGGGCAGAAGCAGACTGGGGGCCAAAGCTGACTCAGGTGAATGTTAGTGAATGCAGACTCAAGGCTGCTCAAGATGCTGAGAATAAATGACAGGTGAATTTTCAGTCCTAACCAAGACATTTATACCACCCCTTGTAAAGCTCAGGGAACATCATTGAAGAGCTGTAAGATAGGGAGAAGGGCTGCAAAATGTCATATAGACATGACACAGCCATTGCAATCAGTGCCTCATAGCAGCTACAGTGACCTGCACTGGGCGTGCACAAGACTGGCCCTGTCAGCAGTCAGTCATAGATGAGGGAGGGACACATAGGACCCTACCCCTCTCTGCTGAATTATCAGCTACTGATAGATTCTGGGAGAGGAGTCATTGTCTTCAGTTGAATACCCACTGGTGAACCCATCAGGTTCCAATGGATAATTCCAAGCCCATGGTTACATAGACAGCCCTGAATAAGCTCAGTGGGTAAAGCAAAACAAAAAGGCATGAATGTGGGAAAGAGGTTTGTAGGGAGGAGAGGGGATATACAGGGGTGGGAGGGAGAAAAGAAAGGGTGCAGTAAGAGTATTAGAATTAGTATTAGTATTAAAATAAGCATGGGGTTCCTCTGTGCTAAAGCAAGTGTCAGGAATATTTATTTATTTATTTAAATTTTTATTTATTATGTGTATGAGTGTTATGCCTGCATGTGTGTAAGTGTATCTGTGTCATGCAATGCCTGTGGAAGACAGAAGAGGGTGTCAGATCCCGTGGAACTAGAGTTACAAATGGTTGTTAGCTGCCATGTGGGTCCTTGGATTTGAACCCAGGCCTTCTGCAAAAACAGCCAGTGCTCTTAATCACTGAGCCATCTCCAGCCCCCAGGGCTTTATTTATTTTTTATGACTGAAGGGCATCCCCTTGTATGAATGGCCACAGTTGCTTTATCCATTCATAGTTGATGGGCATTTGAATTTCTTTTTGACTGTTTTGCTGCTTTGCATTAATGTAAAGGTTTTTGTGTTTCTTTTTATCACTTTGCCAGTTTGTTCTCAAGCCTTCCTAAACTTGTATGGTTCAATAAATCTTCCCCTTGGTTACAGCATTTCTGTGTGACAGCAAGTTATGACAACCATGAATTGTTTGAATTGTATATCATGGTGGTGTTTTCCGTGTATAATGCTATGGCCTGTGTTTTTCTCGTAGACTTGTCCTTCATGTGGAATCACATTTGCTCCCAAATCTGAAGTTGGTGCAGAAGGAGGAACTGTACAAAACGGCTGTCAAGACGAGCCCAAGACCAGCACCAAGGTAACAAGCTCATGGCTGTTGTTCCTGTCAGTTCCTCTCCTGGCGCATCCACCTAAGGTGACATTCCTGTCTCGTCAACTTCTTAGTTCTGAGAATAACTCCTTTTAGGTAATAGTGCCTCCATACTTTTTAGGCTCTGGGTTTTGAATAAACCAATAAAAAACAGGTTGGAGGGGCTGGGAATATAGCTCAGTGGTGGAGATAGAGCATGTGCTTTGCATTCACAAGGCCCTGGGTTTGAGCTTCAGCACTAAAACAAGAAAAATAACAGGATGACCTTTAGAGCCAATCCATATGAAGCAGAGCTAGATGAGATGTCTTCAGGGCAACTGGTTTAAAAGGTTTGGGTTAGAGGACTTGTAGGCTAGTTGTAGACATACTCCAGAGAGAGGCTGGGAGGCAGAGCCAACTGCAGAGAGCTGCCTTGAGGATGAGACTTTGAGACCAGGGCAGGACTGGAGTGGAAAGCAAGGTAAAGCCTGAACCCAAGAACTTTCTGAAGGCTTTGGAAATGGCCTCCCCAGGAGCCCCCATCTCTGTCATTCTACAACCCCCCTACCAGAACTTGCAAGGGACTTGAATGGGGTGCCTCTTATAGCCAGAGGTTCCCAAAACATAAGACTTGTTCATCACCCTTCTCCTAAGCCCCAATAAGCAACCTGGGTTTCCTTTCCCCAGAACCTCCTCTAACCTCCCCAGGAGGTCCCCAGACCTTCTCTGCAGTCATCTTCTGTGGTAAGAAAACTTGCAGACTTGGATGTGTCTTTCACTTCATGCCTGTTCCACGACCTCATTCTTATGGCTGCTGAACACCCAGACATGCCCTGTCCCAAAGCAGGGCCTCGGGGGAACAGGTTAGGGGAGAGGTGGTGTACTGTGTGGGTATGGATTTACAGGTGGTTCTTATGGGTGGGTCAGACCACCCAGCCCTCAGTATAGGGGCTCCAGTTATGGCAGAGGATTAGGTGGGAAGTGGATTGTGCTCCAGGTGACCACTTCATTTCCTGTGCTCGCTTCCTCTTTGTCTGGAGGCAGGCTTCTGGAGGACCCAACTCCAAAACCCAGAATGGACTCCTGAGCCCTCCAGCAGAGAAGCTCACCAACAGCCAGACCTCCCTATGTGAGATCCTGCAGGAGAAGGGACGGTGGGCAGGTGTGAGCTTGGACCAGTCAGCCCTCCTCCCACTGAGGTTCAAGAATATCCGTGAGAAAACTGATGCCCATTTTGTGGATGTTATCAAAGAAGACAGGTAAGCCTGGGCCATCTGTAGTGAGGTGGAGGTTTGCAGGAGTCCTTCCCGTCTTCTGAATTGCCTCATCTGTGTGTTTGTCCTCTGTTGTCATCATATTTCTTTATTATTATTCTTAATTTGAAACAGAGTTTTATAAATACTACATAGAATTTCCTATATACTCTGCCTAATCTACCAACTTTAAGCATTTTATTTATTTTCTGTATTATCTTAAAATTATATTTCTTCATTTATTGTGCATATGTAAAGGTCAGAGAACAACTTGTAGGACTTGGTTCTGGGAGATTGAACTCAGGTTGTCAGGCTTGTTGGCAAAAGCCTTTACCTGCTAAGTCATCTCATTTGTCCTATTCTTCTTATTATTGTTAATTTCTTTGGTTAGCATACAAAGAAATAAACATTTTGTGACATTTTATCATTATTCTTTGTTCGTATTTGCCCTCCCCCAACTCTTTTTTGGAGACATGGGCTTTGAGATAGGGCCTCCCTATGTAACCCTAGCTGGTCTGCCTGGAACTCAATATGTAGACCAGAATTTGCAGCAATTCTGTTTCTGCAGGCACATGCCACTCTTCTCCTCTTTCCCTCCTTCCTTCTCTCTTCCCTTTCCTTTCTCTTGGGTTGTTTTGAACCATTTGATACATGTTGGATACTGTGTGTTCTTTACCCCTTATATGGTATATTCTAAAAACAAGGATGTTGTTTTACACAGTCACAGTCATCAATTCAGGAAGTTTAACATTGGGGGAATAATTCTGTCTGGTAGGGACTGAGGAGTCCATACTTTAGGTTGTCAAACCATTTAACATGTCTTTGGCAGCACATTCTTGTTCTAGTCAAGGATCCCATCCAGAATCACATCGTTTACTTGTCAGGAATCTTTTTAAAAAATATTTTATTTATTATTTTTATTTTATGTGTATGAGTGTATTGCCTGCATGTATGTGAGTGCACCCGTGTTGTGCAATGCTGTGGAGGTCAGAAGAGGGTGTCGGATTCCCCTGGAACTGGAGTTAAGGATGGTTCGTAGCCACCATGTGGGTGTTGGGAATCAAACCCGAGTCCTCTGCAAGAGCAGCAGTGCTCTTAACCACTGAGCCATCTCTCCAGCCTGTCAGGAGTCTTTTAAAAGCTGAGATGGTTCCTCAACTGTCTTGCTTTGTCTTTTATGATACTGACATTTTTTAAAAGTTGCATGCTAACTCTTTTGCAAACACCTTGAGGGATTTTGTGGATTTCCTTATTAGACTCAAATTCTTCTCTGGCCAGGCATAATGGGAAGTAATATCTGTCGTGTCCTTTTCCCCATATCATATCCAGAGATGTACAATGCCCATTGTTCCTTTATAGTCATCTTGATAGGCAAAGTATTACCAGTGTCTCCAATTATTTTCTCATTAGTATTTTCTCATATAACTATTAAACAATCTGTGGGACTATCCATTAACATCTTCTAATTATTGCACTCTTTCTCAGACTTCCTTAGGGTTAACATCCATTGATTGATGGGTTTTGCCTGAAATGGTCTTTACTGCAGCACTGCAGCATGTTTATCACTTGGTGGTCAGCAGCCATTGTAATGCAGTGTTCGCCCTGTCACTGTATGATCCACCCATCCATTGTTAACCTGAACCCATGCACTCCTGTTCTGTTCCATCCTTGTATTTACTATACCTGGATGCTTGAGTATGACCCTGGTGAATGGGTCCTTCTGACATTTGTTTGTAGCAGTCTCTTATTTAACACAACAGGATATTCTAGCCTCACTTCATATCTTTCCTGCCCTAGTTCAGGAATAAGCTTTGCTCCAAGGTGATGAACAGATTTTTGTATAATGTATTAATGTCTAATTTAATGTTGTTATGGTCCGAACACATGCTCTGTGTGATTTCAGTCATTTCACATGACATGACGCTTGTTTTATGGTCTCACATGTGGTTTGTTGTGGATATATGTGCACTTGAAAAGAATGTATATTCTGGGTGTGTGGTAGGATGTGGCATTTTGCAGAATGCTCTGATCTGTAAACCTCAGTTTTAAGTACAGGTGGTTGAGAGTATTGTTCAGATCATCTGTATCTTCACTTGTTTTCTGTTGCTCTATACATTACAGAGAGAATATTGGAATCTCACGTGGTAATCTAGGGGTTTAGTGGTGGCTAGACTCCCAGACCATAGTTTAGTAGTTGCTTCTGGAATTATAGACACACATCTGTCCTAGTTTCCTTTCTGATAAAGCATCATGACCAAAACAGCTTAGGGAGGGTTTATTTCATCATATACTCCCAGGTCATAATCTGACATTGAGAGAAGTCAGGGCAGGAACCTGGAGCAGAAACCATGGAGGAACACTGCTACTGACTCACTCTCAGACTCACATTCAGCTAGCTTTCTTATATAGCCCAGGACCACCTGCCCAGGGATACCACCACCCACAGCAGGCTGACCTCTCTTACATCAATCAATAATCAAGATAATTCCTCACATACATGGCCAGCTCAATGTGATCTGGGAAATTTCCAGTTGAGACTCCCTGAGATAACTCTGGCTGTGTCAAGTTGACAGCTAAAGCAAACTAGGACAACATCCTTAGGCCTAATTTGTCTTATCGGAGTTAATGCTCTGTCACTTTATTTTGAATGAAGAGTCTGGCAGTGGACACCGGTTACTGTCTCCTCATTGCTTGTGCCTTTGCTGTCGAATGCACTCCACCTGCGTAGATAGTAGGCCTCGCACTCTAGACTCTCAGCAATCTTGAGTTGGTATTCAGTGATTGCTTTTATTTTATATGTAATCATATTTTCCAAATTCTTTGTATGCCTAGTAACTTTGGATTGTGCTGTGAACACTGTGCATGATGCTTAGAAATCTGAATTCATGTATTTTTTGAAGAGTAACAATTCTTTCATTCCAGCAGGCAGTTCACTTATCTGAATTCAAACTGTCTCCCTCTTCTTTTAGCCTTAACTGAACTGCCTGGAGTCTGTCATGCATGTGCATATTTCTTTTTTTTTTTAATTTCCTTCTTATATTTTTTAAACTTTAAAAAAATTATTTATTTAATAACCACATACTTAGAGGAAGTATTTCATTACAACATCATTGACATATTCAATAACAATTTCCAGAGCTAAGATGCATCTCTTTCAAAATTGGCTGTAAATTTTTAGGTTTACAGTTGAATTATAAGTTATAAATG